TGGGGTGAGGGGGGGGGGGGGGGCGGTGACAACGCGACAACACACTTCCGAGACAGGGTACCGCAACGTGAGTGCAGGCTGGAGGGCAGCTGGGCACGGCAGGCCAGAAGGACATGGCGCAAGTGAGCAGGGTTCCACGTGGTGTCAGCGTCCACCGAAAGGAGAGGCGTTACTCCACACGGCGCAAACGCTTCCCTAGCATCCAACAGGCAGACAGTAAGACAGTCCTCCAAAAGCGGCCAGACAACGAGGATCAACGGCAGATAATCTAGACACGCTGGCCAACACGAGCAGCCCCCGAACAAAAACACACGTGCTCGCATGGGTTCACAAACATGCGAGTGCCCGTCGGAAACGACGCGTTGCTCGTGTATCTAACAGGCAGGCGGTAGAAACAGAAGAACGGAAACACGAACACCTAAACACCCTGAAACAAAATAGCTCATCCATCAAACAAACAAAAAAAAGGTCCCAACCAACCGTCACACCTTCGGGATGGCCACCATGAGCACCTTATGCTCCACGTTCGCGAGCCAAAAGTGCTGGAAGCTGTTCAGGTCTTCCTGCGTGACCACCGCCTTCTGCTTAGGCTTCACCTCCTGCCACAACGGCGGCGGCGGCGGCGGGGGCAACGCAGATAGCAGACCCTCATCCGCGCCCCCCCCTTCGCCGGGCGAACGCCGTGCGGAGTAGGAAGCACCCGCGGCGGCCGCGGTACGAGCGGCTTCCTCCTCCGGTACCGCAGGAAGCCGCAACGGAGACTCAAATGCTCTGTCCTTGCAGACGGACAACGCTAAGGATAGGCCATCGGGCCCGGGGGGCGTTCCCGCGGACTGAGTTGGCGCGGTGGAGGAGGAGGAGGAGGAGGAAGCGAGAAGTGAAAATATGGAATGTGTGGAACCTCGTGGTTCGAGCCGGCGGTTACGTCACGCTTCAAGATCCCACTTCCATCGTGAGCTAGTGACGGATTCGGTCAAGACGACACGCTTTTACGTACAATCATAGAGAGATACACCCGTTCGAGATACAACCACAGCAGCCCAAGGGTTCAAGAGCATGCGTCATCCTCCATATCCTTGTTCGCGTCGTTGCTAACTCCCCGAGGCTTCCGGGGAGTTTGGAAAAATGCAACGCCACTAGGCCAACGATGTCGACAACTCCAGCAATAAGGGGCATTTTAGAGAGATTGGGTATGGTACATCACAAGGAACAGTCTGGTGGTGGTGCCGCGTCGACGGGCGCCGCTAAAAATTCAAGACGAACTTAGGAGGGCGGGGCGGCTCTTCCGTTCAAATAACCATATACCTCATCCAGCCACTGCATTTGCTCGATAAACGTGCCAAAAGGAGGTGTGTAACCACAGGACTCGCGCCGCAACCGGGATACCTCCAAGAATAACTGAAAAAACAACTGGATTCAGGTCAGCAAGTCTTGTTTTCCGATCGTACTCATGGAATACATTCAGCCATAACTTTCACATACTTGTCAGAACTTTTACAACAAGTCTTGTTTTCCGACCGCACTCATCGAATTCATTCAGCCATAACTCTTACATACCTCTGATGGTGCTTGCGCTTCACCGTCGCCGCGAGAATGCCGAGAAGGAGGGCCAGCAGCCCTCGAGATCAGCCAGCCGCGGCAGGCCTCCCCGACCGCGCCGGGGGCATCCGTGCACGAACAGGGGTCCGCCGGGATCCACGCCAGCCTTACTGCGTCACCTACCCTATTACTATCGCCCATTTTAACCTCTTCCTCTCCCTCTTGCTTCTGACGCTCCTCCTCCATCTCCCCCTCCTCGCCCCCGTCTTCATTAACCTTTTCCCCTGTCCCTTCCTCCCCTCCTCGCCTTTCGGCTGAATCTCCGTCCTCGCCACCATCGCCGCTACTGCCGCCGTCACTCCCACCCAGTCTTCTCCTGCCGATGCCGCGCGCCCCTCCCAGTTCTCTCGACATCGCCCCGTCCTTAGGCGAACTGCGCAATCTCCCGGTGCCAGCTAGAGAGCGCTCCTCCCTGCCCCGATCACCAGGCACCTCGACAGCAGTAGTTGCGTCAGCCATGGCAGGGGCAAAACTACCCTCCTCGGTCTTATCCCGGCCACCTCGGCGTCCCCCGTCCCCCCGAATATCGAAATCGGTCACCCTTCCCGCGTCATCGGAGCGGCTACCGCTCCTATCCAACGTATTCCTCTCGAGGGAGGCCGTGGCGAAGCTCCTCGCTGCCGCCCCCGGGACGGAGCTTTCGCCGCGGTCTCCGGCAGGCTCGGTGTCTCGTTGGCCGAGTCGACGGCGCTGGCGTTGCCGGGAGGGTACAGAAGAGGGACACCACACAACTGGCAACGCAGCCCCAGTCCACTTCCATTCCATCTCACCAGCCGCAGCTTCGCTGCCGCCGCCGCAAATCTCAAGCGGTACCTGCGCGGTGGTTTCTCTGAAAGTCGTTGTGACGGTTC